CAGTGTGGGCAGGTGCCAAATCCTGCTGGAAAATGAAATCAGCATCTTCAAAAAGCTGGTCAGCAGAAGGAAGCATGAAGTGCTCCAAAATTTCTTGGTAAACGGGTGCAGTGACGTTGGTTTTCAAAAAACACAATGGACCAACACCAGCAGATGACATTGCACCCCAAATCATCACAGACTGTGGAAACTTAACACTGGACTTCAAGCAATTTGGGCTATGAGCTTCTCCACCCTTCCTTCAGACTCTAGGACCTTGGTTTCCAAGTGAAATACAAAACTTGCTCTCATCTGAGAAGAGGACTTTGGACCACTGGGCAACAGTCCAGTTCTTTTACTTTACTTTAAGTTATTTAGCAGACGCTTTTATCCAAAGCGACTTAGTTAATTATTTTTTATTTTATATAATATATATATATGTTGCACTTTGTTTATTATTATATTATATTATATTATATTCATTTATTCCAAAAATGTGTCATTGCATTACAGACACCATTTTAAATCAGTGATATACTTTATATTTTATATTTATCTAACTATTTATTCTATCTATTTATTTTGTACAGTGTTTTTCCAGACCTTGATATCCACATTAGTTAGTGCTCAGTATAGTTTAAATCAGGGTGGTTCACGAACTCATCTGTTCCAGGATCATGATGTCCAGGAGGATAAGATCTTCCTGCTCTCTCTGCTCATGGCGGAGACGGGTGTTCACTCAGTGGCTTACGCCTTTCCCAATGTGCGCATCATCACTACTGCCGTGGACAAGAAGGTCAACGATGAGTTTCACATCATTCCAGGGATTGGTAAGAGCAGTTTAATTAAAGGAAGAGTTCACACAAAAATTTTAATTCCCTTAACATCAGACCATCTAAGATTTACAGGTGCATCTCAATAAATTAGAATGTCATGGAAAAGTTTAACTCAAATTGTGAAACTTGTGTATTAAATAAATTCAATGCACACAGACTGAAGTAGTTTAAGTTTTTGGTTCTTTTAATTGTGATGATTTTGGCTCACATTTAACAAAAACCCACCAATTCACTATCTCGACAAATTAGAATACTTCATAAGACCAATAAAAAAACATTTTTAGTGAATTGTTGGCCTTCTGGAAAGTATGTTCATTTACTGTACATGTACTCAATACTTGGTAGGGGCTCCTTTTGCTTTAATTACTGCCTCAATTTGGCGTGGCATGGAGGTGATCAGTTTGTGGCACTGCTGAGGTGGTATGGAAGCCCAGGTTTCTTTGACAGTGGCCTTCAGCTCATCTGCATTTTTTGGTCTCTTGTTTCTCATTTTCCTCTTGACAATACCCCATAGATTCTCTATGGGGTTCAGGTCTGGTGAGTTTGCTGGCCAGTCAAGCACACCTACACCATGGTCATTTAACCAACTTTTGGTGCTTTTGGCAGTGTGGGCAGGTGCCAAATCCTGCTGGAAAATTAAATCAGCATCTTCAAAAAGCTGGTCAGCAGAAGGAAGCATGAAGTGCTCCAAAATTTCTTGGTAAACGGGTGCAGTGACGTTGGTTTTCAAAAAACACAATGGACCAACACCAGCAGATGACATTGCACCCCAAATCATCACAGACTGTGGAAACTTAACACTGGACTTCAAGCAACTTGGGCTATGAGCTTCTCCACCCTTCCTCCAGACTCTAGGACCTTGGTTTCCAAATGAAATGCAAAACTTGCTCTCATCTGAAAAGAGGGCTTTGGACCACTGGGCAACAGTCCAGTTCTTCTTCTCCTTAGCCCAGGTAAGACGCCTCTGACGTTGTTTGTGGTTCAGGAGTGGCTTAACAAGAGGAATACGACAACTGTAGCCAAATTCCTTGACACGTTCTGTGTGTGGTGGCTCTTGATGCCTTGACCCCAGCCTCAGTCCATTCCTTGTGAAGTTCACTCAAATTCTTTTCAATCCTCAAAAGGCTGCAGTTCCCTTGGTTTGTTGTGCATCTTTTTCTTCCACACTTTTTCTTTCCACTCAACTTTCTGTTAACATGCTTGGATACAGCACTCTGTGAACAGCCAGCTTCTTTGGCAATGAATGTTTGTGGCTTACCCTCCTTGTGAAGGGTGTCAATGATTGTCTTCTGGACAACTGTCAGATCAGCAGTCTTCCCCATGATTGTGTAGCCTAGTGAACCAAACTGAGAGACCATTTTGAAGGCTCAGGAAACCTTTGCATGTGCTTTGAGTTGATTAGCTGATTGGCATGTCACCATATTCTAATTTGTTGAGATGGTGAATTGGTGGGTTTTTGTTAAATGTGAGCCAAAATCATCACAATTAAAAGAACCAAAGACTTAAACTACTTCAGTCTGTGTGCATTGAATTTATTTAATACACGAGTTTCACAATTTGAGTTGAATTACTGAAATAAATGAACTTTTCCACGACATTCTAATTTATTGAGATGCACCTGTATACTGTTATGGGGCTAAGTAAGCAATCAATCCTGCAAATGAATGCTTAAATGCTCTGTATATCTGTTCAGACAAAATTAGTACAAATACAGAAATTCTGCTCCTAACTAGGGCCAACGGTGCAACATTACAACATTTCCCTAAAAACTTACTCAAATGTAAAAAATTTGAAAAATCTTTCATTTCTACATCAGAGGCCTCCTAAAACAATATCTGAGAGGTCAAAAAAAATGTTGCTAATTTTTTTCTATATTTGGGTATTACAGGGCTATATATATATTAGGTGATTATATGATACATACATCAACATTACTGAGCTGTATTTTGAACAATAATACAATTATCAAATGATTGATCTAATTTTGCGCTATAACTACTAATAAAATAAATAATTTGACAACGTCAAATCATGTCAGTACGGCATGTGTAGAGAAGGTCTTATTATTGTGAGCATGTTTTATATAAAAAGGTTGCGTCTTCTCCAATAACAACCAACTGCAGAACCGCAGAACCATATGTCATGACAGTCTGAGGACAACAGCGCCAGACTAACAGTCTGAGGCCGGAAGTGGGCGGAGTGGCAGTATCAGATCGGAAGTGGGCGGAGTTCATATAAACTAATAATAGCGGAAGAGACGGTAAGAAGTTAATCACGGTGTAATTACGAGAGCTCAGTCAAAAGTTAATGAAAACGGAATCATCATGGCGGAAGAAGAGAAAACGGTAAAAAAAATTGCCTTTGTGTATTTAATCGATTGTTTTTGGATTAACGCTTATAAGAATTATTGTTAAATGTGTGCCTGCATAACTTCAATTTATTTATTCACTTAAGTTTGATTTTGTATTTTTAATTAATTGTATTTATTTGAGGCAGGTACAGCTAGTGTGTGATGCTTTTTCTATTTAAGAGTGAAAAACACATTTTATTTAAAATAATATTTTTATTTTATTTTTGTTCTATGAAAAAACGTGGTTAGTTGTGAAATGGAGTATAAAAAAATGCTTTTTCAATTAAATCAAATGCTCAAGCTTTGTTTTGTTTTTTTTGTTTTTTTTAAAGATTTGTTAAATTTATATTGTTAATCATTTATGACACAAAAAACAAATGTATAATAAACTATAATAAATAAAAAAACTGACAATTGTCTATAGTAATATGTCTAGTTTTTTTTTTTTAAATCAAATGCTCAAGCTTTGTTTTTTTTTTTTTTTAAAGATTTGTTAAATTTATATTGTTAATCATTTATGACACAAAAAACAAATGTATAATAAACTATAATAAATAAAAAAACTGACAATAGTCTATAGTAGTATGTCTAGTTTTTTTTTTTTACATATATATATATATATATATAAGTGCATCTTATATATCTTTTAAATTCAATCGTTTTAATATAATACTTGATGATAACGTTGTTTTAAACTTTGAAACGGTCCAAAACACGGAAGTAGCGGAAGGCAACACTTGCTCCGCCCACTTCCGGCCTCAGACTGTTAGTCTGGCGCTGTTGTCCTCGGACTATAATTACGTATGGTTCTGCAGTTAGTCCTATCTCGTCTGCTCAGCTTGGCCAGCGGACGTGATGTAAGCACATGGGCGGGGTTTCCGGAAGTCAGCTGAGCGAAGATCCATCTGTTTAGCTTCAAGAGTAATGGAACAAATACAGTGATCCATTTACCCGGGTATGAAGATATTATTGCATTTATTTGTCCAAACTGATAGGTTCCTGCTTCAAATCCCCGCCGGACTGTTAAAAGTAACCGCTGGGATGCAGATTAATATATTAATTGAGTTCGGCCTGTGTTTGTTTACAGTGTATAATGTTAGGAGGCTACATGCTAAAGCTAATCTGTCAGAACACTTGCAGGAGTCTCGGTGTGTGTCTGAATGCACTTCAGCATTCAGCGAGATCGGTGTCTGCAAGCCATGGCTCAGCCTGAGAAGAAAGCAGGGCTCCTGAGGAGAACATCCTCCTCGAAGAAGCCTCTGAAGGAGAAAGTGGTGCTGATGTACGAGGAGATATTTGCAGTAAGTCAGTATTTCCTGATGTATGTCATTAGGGCTCACCGAGGCTGCATTTATTTGATCCAAAACTATAAAAGTAAAATAACTGTTTTCTATGTGAATATCTGTTAAAATGTAACTTATTGCTGTGATCAAAGCTGTATTTTCAGCATCATTACTCCAGTCTTCAGTGTCACGTGATCTTCAGAAATCATAATAATATGCTGATTTGCTGCTTTAAGAAACATTTCTGATTATTATCAAACATTCAAACTTGTTTTCAGGACTCTTTCATCAATAGAACAGCATTTATTTGAAATCGAGATCTCTTGTTACATTGTATTTACTGTCACCTTTGATTCATTAAAGTGTCCTTGCTGAATAAAAGTAGTTATTTCTTTATATATATATAAAAAAAGCTTACTGGCTTCAAATTTTTGAACGTTAATCTATTTTTACACTGTTATTATATTTTGTAATTTTATGACAAATAAGTACATTTAACCCCATAATTATCATTATTGTAGTTGGAGCCAATGGCCTCGTGGGCAGCGCGCCGACATGTAGCACCTTTGCGCTTCGGTCGTCCCGAGTTTGAGTCCCGGCTCGTGGACCTTTCCCGATCCCACCCCCCTCTCTCTCTCACCCACGTTGCTTCCTGTCGACCTACTCTCCTATCTAAATAAAACGCCAAAAATAAATCTTTAAAAAATATATTTTTTTATTATTGTAAAATAAAATAAAATAAAATAAAAAAAAAAGTTTGGTATTTTAACTTTTGGGTTGTAATTTCATTATTATCAATGGTTAGGGTGACCATCCGTCCTCTTTTCCCTGGACATGGCCTCTTTTTGGACCTTCAATAATGCGTGCGGCCCGGGATTTCTTAATTGCCCAAAATGTCCGGGATTCGGCTGTTTTTTAAATCCCGCTCCCGCTGAATCTCTCCCGCAACATGTGTTTCGCTCCCGCGATTTTCGTGTCCACTCCTTTACACATTCTAATATTGTGGGAGCCGCTCTCAGGATGCGGAGTATTTAAATATTTTTGAATGAGCGTTTGCGCCGTTTACTTTCACTTTCGATTTCGCGATCACACAGCACTCTGTGTAAAGTTAGCACATCTTACAAGATTAGATATTTGTCAATGAGCTCAGGATCTGTTGAGCAGCAAATACTCCAGCATGGTCTTGTCAGTCATCTCTCCTTATTCTCGACCTGTGTTTAGTCAAAGCTGACTCCGGTAGCTCTTGTTGGATGCAGGGTTGCCAAGTCCACGTTTTTTCCACAGAATTGGGCTACTTTTAAACTGTTGCCATGGGTTGATTTTCCCAAGTGGGTTAAAGGTTTGAATTATTGCATAAATTACATTTGACTGAAATGCTTGTATTGAAACATTTTGCATTGTACCTATGATAAAACTTTCATGGACTTCTACATTAACTGTTCCCTCCTGGTGGAATGACCCGCCCAGCTCAATCCAAGCAGCTGAGTCCTTGATATTTTCAAGAAACAGCGGAAAACACACCTCTTTCATCTTCATTTGACCCTCTAACTCTAGCACTCTCCGTTCTATTTCTATTCTTTCTACTTATTTTCTTTTTATTTATTCTAAAAACAAAACAAACAAAAAACCTTGCTATGTATACTGTTACGTGAACTATTACATGTTTTTAAATGTAATGTTGGTGCAAGTATAGATTGTAAACATCAGTTTTTGCTCTTTCCCATCAGAAGGAAGACCCTACTAAGAACAATCCTCGCTTCTGGGATGAGCTGTTTCTGATGAAGGTCCGTGGCAGATACACATGGTGAAATGCTGTTTTATGAGTGCGTGGACTATGCTGTTGATCTGTGTGCTTTGAGCAGGTCAATCTGGAGTATCTGGAGGGGAAGTTGGAGTCTCTGGACGGGGATGAAGTCGTGAAAATCAAAGACAACATCAACAGTTTGTTCCATCACTGTGTTCAAGCTCTGACTGAGGAGCACCAGATCAAAGTAGTCAATGCGCTTCAGGTAAAATCATGCTTCCTGCGTTACTAAAGAACATGATCTGATAATCAAGTCATGCTCCGAATAATCAATGTCTGGCTAGTGCGTCATCGCAGAAGATTTCATATAAAGAAAATGAATCATTTATTGTATTTGTTTGTCAATTACAAACATTTTTGTGGAAAAAAAAAAATATTATTTTCATCACTGCAATTTGAAAAAATAATTATGTACTTTTTAAATGGTTAAGTATTTATACGTGATGATAGAACTACTTTTTTTTTTAAATGGTTGTGTCTGTGTAGAATTTTTTTTTTATATTTAGAGTATTGAAAATCTAAGAATCTAATAAGGTTAGCCATTGATAATAATAGAATTACAACAAAATATTGTATTGTATTTTATTTTATTTTACAATAATGATAATTATGGGGTAAAATGTACTTAGTTGTAGGGGTGTGCGATATATATCGTCTGCGATAATATTGTTGTTTTAACGATGTGCGATTTGACATTATCGAGTATTTTGCAAAAATCATTCAAAACATCCCTACAGAGCGCACGCATACATTACGTGACGTCTAGACTAGTGCGTGTGCGCATTTAGTGTGTTTTCTTTCACTGCGTGATTCAGTCTATTAAAATGGATTTAGAATGATCACAAATTCAAGACATGATGGCAGAAAATTTATATATTTATGCCACTTCATATAGTTATTCAATTTCACACGAAGAGTGCCGTTTTTCTCCAAAAATTACCATGATTACAAATGTGACATTGAATTCAATAAACAATAAGTTAATTAAGAGACTTACGTTTTAGACACCATATTGCTTGTTTTTGCTCTATTTCGCCAACAAAAATAATTCTGAATACAGCCACAGCGCTGTTTTGTGTCTCTGAGCAACGAGCTCAGCCACAGTGATCTTTGGGTTCTTCTTTACCTCTCTCACCAAGGCTCTTCTCCCCCGATAGCTCATTTTGGCCGGACGGCCAGCTCTAGGAGGGGTTCTGGTCGTCCCAAACGTCTTCCATTTAAGGATTATGGAGGCCACTGTGCTCTTAGGAACCTTAAGTGCAGCAGAAATTTTTTTGTAACCTTGGCCAGATCTGTGCCTTGCCACAATTCTGTCTCTGAGCTCTGAGCTCAGGCAGTTCCTTTGACCTCATGATTCTCATTTGCTCTGACATGCACTGTGAGCTGTAAGGTCTTATATAGACAGGCGTGTGGCTTTCCTAATCAAGTCCAATCAGTATAATCAAACACAGCTGGACTCAAATGAAGGTGTAGAACCATCTCAAGGATGATCAGAAGAAATGGACAGCACCTGAGTTAAATATATGAGTGTCACAGCAAAGGGTCTGAATACTTAGGACCATGTGATATTTCAGTTTTTCTTTTTTAATAAATCTGCAAAAATGTCAACAATTCTGTGTTTTTCTGTCAATATGGGGTGCTGTGTGTACATTAATGAGGAAAAAAAATTAACTTAAATGATTTTAGCAAATGGCTGCAATATAACAAAGAGTGAAAAATTTAAAGGGGTCTGAATACTTTCCGTACCCACTGTATATATATATATATATTCTTTTATTTTTATTTTAAATAAACATGCTTACAAATACTCAATTGGAAACATCAAACCGAAGTTGTGAAGTGAGCTTTTGTGTTTGCAGACACACCATACGTTCAATTACTGGTTGGCATTCAGAAAATGTAACAGTTGCTTTTGACCTAAAGATCTGAATGAGCATGACAAAGACATGAAAAGCTCCTCCTGTCTGTTTCTGTAGACTCTCTGTGCGCTGTTTCGAGGAGTTCACCAGAAGAACAAATCCGCCACAGGCTTTGACATCATCAACATGCTGATGGGCTTCGACAAAGCTGAGCTCCGAATGAAGGTCAGTCGTTTGTCCCGCTCGCACATGATCTGGACGTTTTTATTGAATGCAGAGTTGAGCTGCAGTGTAATTGTGCACACAGGAGCTAATGGAGAGCCTGGACAGTCTGCTGTGCGGTGATGGATCAGAGAGTCTGAAGAGTTTGTGTCTGAAACTACTGCTGTGTCTGGTCACTGTAAGATCAGTGCATTCATTCTTCTACACACTTTTTGTACAAATCTGCTCACTTTCACTTCTGTAGTGAAGTAGTCCACTTGCTGCTTATTTTGTAAAAGCGAGCAAAAATCAAGTCCTGGTGTCATTGCACCAATTGCAACGATTTAAAAATTATAGCAACAGAACTTAAAGGAATAGTTCATGCAAAAATGAAAATTAGCTGAAAATGTATTCACCCTCAGCTCATCTGAGATTAGGATGAGTTTGTTTCTTCATCAGATTTGGAGAAATGAAGCATTGCATCACTTGCTCACCAATGGATGTGAATGGGTGCCGTCAGAATGAACTGATAAAAACATCACAATAATCCACAAGTAATCCACACCACTCCAGTCCATCAGTTAATGCCTTGTGAAGTGAAAAGCTGTGTGTTTGTAAAAAATAAATACATCGTTAAGACTCGTTTTTAGCTTCAAACCGTCCCTTCCGGCTAAAACACGAGTCCATAATAACGCTTCCTCCAGTGAACAAGTGGTCTGGTCTGAATCAGGAGAGAAATCTGCACAGATCAAGCAGCATTTACAGTCCAAAACAGCTCTAAACAAATATGTGGGTGGATTTTGATGTGAGAGACAACAGGAGATGCACTTTTTCACTGGAGGAAACAATATTATGGATTATAGACTCATATTTTAGTTCGAAGTAATGGTTTGAATGTAATAATAGATTTGTTTCTTACAAACACAGCTTTTCTCTTCTTGAGTCATTAACTGATGGACTGGAGTGGTGTAGATTATTGTGATGTTTTTATCAGCTGTTTGAACTCTCATTCCGACGGCACCCATTCACATCCATTGGTGAGCAAGTGATGTAATGCTACATTTCTCCAAATCTGATGAAGAAACAAACTCATCTGCATCTTGGATGGCCTGCGGGTGAGGACTAGGGCTACAAAACGATTAATCGCGATTAATTATCTTTAAAATAAAAGTTTGTTTACATAATATATCTGTGTGTACTGTGTATATTTATTATGTGTATATATAAATACACACGCACATATGTATATATTTAAACAAATATTTGTATGTATATATATTCGTACTAGTATATAATTTATATGTAAATATTAATATTTAATATACAAATCTAACTCATTTTATATATACTCATGTATGTGTGTGTATTTGTATATACATAATAAATATACACAGTACACACACATTTCTGGGTGAACTATTCCTTTAAAATGTATATGTTCACATGACACTATCCTTTTTTCCAGATGCTTTCTGACGTGTTTATAATGTGTTTTTTGTCTTGCAGGTGACAGATAATATCAGTCAGAACACCATACTGGAGTATGTGATGATCAACAGTATATTTGAGGCCATTCTACAGGTAAAAACTGTGATGTGTCTTCTGTGATTTTACCTGCGCATTATAATGTTGTCCATTTTAATTCGCCTCTTTTTGTCCAGATTCTGTCTGAGGTTTCCAGTCGAGCGCAGCACGGATATGATGCTGTGGTACTTTTAGCTCTGCTGGTGAACTACAGGAAGTATGAGGTAAGTGCACAGTGACACTTGTACTAATGTGATATATCGTTCTAGTCATGAAGCATTGTTTGTACGATTTCTGTGAGGTTCATTGTTTCCTCTGTTAATTGTAGTCTGTGAATCCTTATATTGTGAAACTGTCGATAGTGGACGACGAGCCGACCCTGGATGTGAGTAGTTGGGGAGATTCTTGAAATTCAAGGTATTATTGAGTCACTTGGAGGTCTAATATAGTTGGATCTTTTCACAGGGCATGGGAATGGTCATCCACCACGCACTTGCTGAGTACAATAGGTGACAGGCAATCTTTATTGTTTGTTTTCTAGAAACGTGTGTGAAAGATTTAATGTGATCCATCTGGTTTCCACAGACAGTATAAAGACAAAGAAGAGGAAAACCAGGGAGGCTTTTTCTCCACCCTCACCAGCATGGTATAAAACTCTTTTAGCATTTATTAATGTCTAGGGCCCTATGAAATCGGTTTTATTTTTTCCCAAATTAGATATTTTTTCCCATTTCAATTTTTCTGGATTCACCACTGATAAGCTACCACTAAATATTGTAGAAACTTAATTTGCTGTAAAGTTGCTTTGCAACGATTTGTATCGTAAAAAGCGCTATACAAATAAACTTGAATTGAATTGAATTGAATTATTATTTTATTTTTTTATTCCCAGAAATACAGCTGTGTATTTACATTTTTTGCTTTAAAAAAATTTCTGGTAAATAATTTTTATGGTAAATATTCCTTTAAAAATAATGTTTTAATAATATTTGTATTATTAGTAGTAGTACTATCATTACATTTAAAGGGGTCATATGATGCGATTTCAATTGTTTCTTTCTGTTTGGAGTGTTACAAGCTCTTGGTGCATAAAGAAGATCTGTAAAGTTGCAAATACTAAAGTCTCAAACCCAAAGAGATATTCTTTATAAAAGTTAAGAGTCAGCCACGCCTACCTAAAACGGCTCGTTCTAACACACCCCCACATATCTACATCACTATGTGGGAAGATTTGCATAACGCCGCCCAAATGTTCACACAAAGAAAGAAGGTGTAACTTTTATTCTCGCTGTAGTATTGTTGTTGCTGCAGCCATGTCGTGTGCTTCGTTGTAAAGCGAAACTACGTTGTTTGGCCTTCCAAAAGAGGACGATATCTGCTTCGTCATGCCTAGAGCTGATCTGTGCTGGTCGCTGAGGAAATACAACAACTTTCACCGTGGACAAAGCGGAGTCCAGCCCGCCTCAGCTCACGCTATACCGGCCTCAGTGCACGCTAAGCCGGGGATTCCCCTCACGCTAGGCTGCTGTGTTTTTCGTTGCTACTGATGATTCAAACGCGAGTTTTGGGCAGTGTAGAGTAGCACTTGTTGTTTGTCATTTCTCCAATCACAAATGCGACAGAGTTTTATGTTTACCTGGCGCAATGCAACGTAACGCGTACAAAAACATTATAAGTCATTATAATCAGTTATTATGTCCCCACTGGATGCAACAAATGCCTCGTTTGTAATGGGTTTTAATGTTTTTTTCTCGTCGCTCCGGCCGGACACGGCATCACAGTATGGTGAGGGGCGTAACATTTCCGTCTCACGCTTGAGGTATTCAGCCAATCTCAACTCATTGGATAGCTGGCCAATCACAGCACACCTCGCTTTTTTTAGAACGATGAGCTTTGTAAAAATCAACGCGTTTCAGAAAGGCGGGGCATAGAGGAGAAACAATAATGTACAGTATGTGGAAAATAATGTGCTTTTTGAACCTTAAACTGCATAAACACATTTCATTACACCAAATACACAAAATAATGTTCTTTTTAGCAACATCATATGACCCCCTTTAAGTAATATATTTCTGTCACAGTTTCTAAGAGTTAAATCGAACTTTTATTTTGACGGGTTGCTGTGAAGATAGTTTCTGTTTGTATATGATATGACGATAGTTTTACTCAAAAGAAACGGAAACGTTTTTGTGGCGTAATATTAACAAACACTAGTGCATATCGCTTTTTGATATAAGTGTTCTGACCTACTTTTCATGTATCCATCCAAAATGGGTGCAAAATTCTGCGTTATACTGTACAGTAAATTCCGTTTTTATGACTAGATTCCGCGATTTTGTCGGTGTTTTCCACATCACGGAAATCATAGGGCCCTACATGTCTTTCCAAGCTGTTTCACTTTTTTGTTTCTGTGGAACACAAAAGAAGAAATTTAGCAGAATGTTCACGCTGCTCTTTTCCATACAATGAAAGTGATTTTTGCAGCTACATATTTATCATAATCATGCTTTGGTCTGCAGGTGGGCAGTATGTTTATCGCTGACGCAGATGAGAAGCTGTCAGTACAGTAAGTAAAAATTAAGACGGTTTAATTGGTGATTTGGATTTTTTTTCATATACAGCTAACCTACAAAAGTTTGGGGTTGGTAAGATTAAAAAAAAAAAAGTCTCTTCTGCTCACCAAGGCTGCATTTATTTGATCAAAAAACAGTAAAATCAGTAATATTGTAATACAGTAATTTAAAAGTCAGTTCTATTGTAATATGTTAAAATGTAATTGATTGAGCTGAATTTTCAGCATCATTACTTCAGTCTTCAGTGTCACATGATTCCGCGATGAACGTTCGAAAGAACAGCATTTACTTGAAACAGAATGTTACCTTTTAACATTCTAAACGTAATTAGTCCCTTTTTATCAATTTAATGCAACCTTTCTGAATAAAAGTGCTAATTTCTTTAAAAAAAGCGAACCTTTGAAGAGAAGTGTATATATATATATATTTGAAGGTCTGATCAGCCCCATAAGTCTTCAGCGCATAATAGCAGTCATCAAATCCTGAAATGTCCATCCTTGTATTATTAAATCAAATGCTCCACATTGTCCTTTAGGACTAATGAAGCCATCCTGCTCGCTCTCTATGAGGCCGTTCATCTCAACAGAAACTTCATCACAGTTCTTGCACAGGTCAGCACTGCACAATGACTTGTATTTATCTTTGTGCACTGACATATGCATATATTATTAGGCCTGTCCTATCTATACATTGATGGTTATGGTTTATCTTTGCATCTGTAATTGTCAATCACAGAGCCATCCGGAGATTGACATCGCAACAACCCCAGCTGTGCCCGTCCCAGCCTCTCCTCTGACCCCGCTGGGCACCACACCGCCCTCTCTGGACAGTGAGTAACTAGTGTTAAAATATCATTCACTCACCCTCATGTCAGACCCACATGACCTGCTTTCTTCTGCAGAACACTAAAGTAGAAATACATGCACCGTATGAGTAACCAGAAGTGAGGTTTGTTTGAATAATGAAACGCTTTGAGATTTTCAAGCAGCTGTTGTTCAGCAAATGACTCTTTGAATCGTACTGTACTTCCAGTCTGTTATTTTTTAGAGCTGGCATTTCACTTCCTTAAACCGACTCCACACTTACATTTGCCTCTAAAACACGTTTAACTTTTATGCTGCTTTTTGCATTGCAACCTTTTAAAAACTTGATATCCATTAGCTGTATGAAATATTAAATCCACTCGGATCTGGCAGACTGAAGCTCCCGTGGTGGATGTGGCGTGTTCTCCTGCTCAATCATCTGTAATCAGGATGACACGGGAAACATTCACAATATACTTATAGCCTGTTCACAAAAAGGACAATAACTATAATGATAATTATGATGTTTTAATAATCATTGTTATATAATAACTATAATGTTTTAATGAGCATTTCAATTTAACAAAAACAGTAACATTTTAATAATTGTTCTTACTGGACTAAAACTGTAACATTTTAATAACATTCTAATGTAACAATAACTGTAACATTTTAATAATGTTCTAATTTAACGATACCTGTAACGTTTTAATAATCTTTTTAATTTAAGGATACCTGTAACGTTTTAATAATCGTTCTAATTTAAGGATACCTATAAGTTTTTAATAATGTTCTAATTTAAGGATACCTATAAGTTTTTAATAATGTTCTAATTTAAGGATACCTATAAGGTTTTAATAATGTTCTAATTTAAGGATACCTATAATGTTTTAATAGTCGTTCTAATTTAACGATACCTGTAACGTTTTAATAATGTTCTAATTTATCGATACCTGTAACGTTTTAATAATCGTTCTAATTTAAGGATACCTATAACGTTTTAATAATCGTTCTAATTTAAGGATACCTATAACGTTTTAATAATGTTCTAATTTAAGGATACCTATAAGTTTTTAATAATGTTCTAATTTAAGGATACCTGTAACGTTTTAATAATGTTCTAATTTAAGGATACCTATAAGTTTTTAATAATGTTCTAATTTAAGGATACCTATAAGTTTTTAATAATGTTCTAATTTAAGGATACCTATAAGTTTTTAATAATGTTCTAATTTAAGGATACCTATAATGTTTTAATAGTCGTTCTAATTTAACGATACCTGTAACGTTTTAATAATGTTCTAATTTATCGATACCTGTAACGTTTTAATAATCGTTCTAATTTAAGGATACCTATAACGTTTTAATAATGTTCTAATTTAAGGATACCTATAAGTTTTTAATAATGTTCTAATTTAAGGATACCTATAAGTTTTTAATAATGTTCTAATTTAAGGATACCTATAAGTTTTTAATAATGTTCTAATTTAAGGATACCTGTAATGTTTTAATAGTCGTTCTAATTTAACGATACCTGTAACGTTTTAATAATGTTCTAATTTAAGGATACCTATATCGTTTTATTAATGTTCTAATTTAAGGATACCTGTAACGTTTTAATAATGTTCTAATTTAAGGATACCTGTAACGTTTTAATAATGTTCTAATTTAAGGATACCTGTAACGTTTTAATAATGTTCTAATTTAAGGATACCT